AGATATCAGAATGAAAATGAACTCTGGCAACAAAATATGCGATACACCAACAGAACTGAGTGAAAGATGAGGATGTGTTTGTTTTCATTGCAATGTAGCAGGTAGGGTTCTGATGAAGAGTGATATGGTCTCACTGACAGGCATGATTGGATGTAGGAACATGCAACTTTGAAAGTGCAGTAAGTGGAAGTAAAACAGGAATTAATTTCCAACTAGCTCTCATTTCGTATTGTTTTCCTACATTGGAATTTCATTATTTTGTATTGGAACCCTAATGTCGAAGTGTGGTCTTGAAAAACAAAGCAATTTCTGTTGTTTCTATAAAAGTCAATATAAAAAAAAGACAAAATGTTTTTCAAAACAAAAATTGGGAAACTTGTATTCTATACATACAAGCTTGCTTTACATAAGATGATTAGCTAAACAAATAAAAAAATACACAACAACCTAGTACGATGCAGCATTGGTTGGTTTATGTCTTTCACAATTTTTAGCTTTGCATTAGCTGAGTTCTGTCACTTCAAAATTGTAATGCACTTAGGTGTCACAAACAAGGTTTAGATAGAATACAAACATAGAATCATAGGATCATAGGATCACAGAATGTCAGGGCTTTGAAGGGATTACCTAGGACAGCCACACAGGAACACCTCCAGGCGGGCTGGACTTGATGATCTCAGTGGTCTTTTCCAGGCTCAATAATTCTGTGAGTCTGTGAAAGTCCCCAGAGAAGGAGACTCCACACTCCACAGCCTCTCTGGGCAGCCTGTTCCAGTGCTCCATCACACAGTAAAGAAGTTTCTCCTCATGTTGAAACTTAAATCCCAGGTTGTTTACTTTGAAAACTGGAGTTTAGTTGTCAAGTAAGTCAAGAGATGCCACATTTTTTTATTCAGTGCTTCCCAGGGACCTGTGTCTGTGCCCATGCCCTGGTGAAGAATGCCCCCAGCTTGCACTCATTCCAGATCTGAATCAAAAAACAAAATGTTCAGAAGTTTCTGCAAGGCTCAGCTGGGTGAATATTCCCAGGACAAGCCCAGCACACATCACCTGCCTTGGGCCATGCCCAAGTGAAATGACCACCTACCTTCTTTTAAGGAGCAGATGGGAAGGACCTCGTATTTTCTTTTGCATAATAGTTCAGTGGACAGATCAGTCACTCAGGACACAAAAAGAGTCAGGCTTGATGCCTTCCTAAGCACAAATAAAACAGTCTGCAGCTATGTAATTGCCAGGATATATTGCAAGGATATATTCATCACTCTTTTTGAAGCTCTACTGCCATGTAGAAAAGAATGCTGGTCAAGAGACTATAGAAACAGAAAAGTTGAGCAACCTCTTCAGCTTAATAATAGGGGTGACAATTAGGTTTTTCCTTTGGGAAAAGAGAGTCTGGATCTCTAGTGCCCACTGCCAGGAATGTTCTTATAAATTATTGTGTGTCTGCTGTAAGATGTAGAAACTGTACCCTGCCTAGCACAACACTCTTCTAGTTAGGTAGCCTCCTGCAAGGTGAAAAGCTATCTTAAGCAAAGATAGGAGCTGAAACAAGGTTCATTCCTCCACAGGCTGTGACCACTGGGCAATTACACAAAAGGAGGCATTGTGACCAGTAGCCGTGCAGAATGAAAATCAAATGAGATGTGTTCAGCTTCTTGAAAGAGAGAGTATATAGATAATTATCCCAGGACAGTGATGCAGACTGTAGATCCTGATTTGAAAGAGGCACCTCCAAGTCATCCTTACTGTGATGTCTGTGCTTCTGAGAGAAGCTTGCATGAAGACACCATTCCTTCTGTGCACTGGAACTCCCCAGCTTCATCCTGACTGTGCTGAACTTACGCAGTGCCCTGCTCCGCTTGCTCCTTGCTGTAAGGTCTGTTCCGAGGCTGGAACTGACAAACTGCTCACACGCACACACCCCACTACCATTCATTTGCATAAAAATAATTTTAATTTTGATTTGGCATTGAAAAACACAGCACTTTATGTATAGCACGTCTGCGCATCAAGAAGTACAAAACTGGACTGTGTTGATAAAAAGTCAGGCATGATTTCTACCTTTCTAATGAATGTGAACTGGCAAAGCAGCAGACCAAAATTGGTGGCGTCAGTGTGATTTCAAGTTGCAACAGAGGTTTGGGTATGAAAGTCTAATGCTTTGATCCTGCACACTTCCCTGCCCTCACTTGTTCTGCATGTGCCAGGACCACTGTGGCTAAGGGGGTTCCAAGTAGATACTTCCAGGCTCTTCAGACCCATTTTTGGCTAAGACCATTTTTTAGGGGTGCTTCTGGTAAACACCTCACTGCAGAAGTGGATTATTCTGTTTTTCCCTGAGCAAATGCAGTTCAGATTGCTGGCAGCAGCAGCAGTACCAGTGCTTCCATGCTTCCCTTCTGTTGCCCTCGATCCCTGAGAAGTAGGAGCACTGAGGTTACCTTACACTTGTTTTCTTTTTATGCTAGGAGGGAAAAACTGCTGTGTAATTTATAGAATTAACACATTTCAAATAGTTTCCAGTTGCCCGCTGCTAAGCTGCAGCAATGGCAGAACATCACTCCCTCGAACTGTATACTCCCTTGCATAGTAGAAATTGAAATGAACTCTTCTTCCGGTAAGTCTCTGTTGCTTATTAACTCTGGATCCTGAGAAGAATCCAAGGTTCTTAGAACAAAACAGCTGTTTATTTTCAGATCCAAGAGGAACTTTTATTCTATTGTTTTTGACATCAAGCTTGTCTTCAGGGAAAACCAAAAAAAGTCTTTTATTAGTAAGTGCAGGTTTTGAATGGCGACATCTGCAGCTCCTTTGCATGTATCTACATCTCTTCTACTACATGATTCATATCTCCATAAATCTAGCTCATTATTGATGCACAGTGCCAAAGTGCAGCCTCTGCAGAGGCAGTAAACCTTGACTGTCCAGTGTGTCCACTTAGTCAATATAGAAGAAGGCACTAGTGTATTTATTATATTTGTAGCTCTCTTGCTATTTTATACAAGAGTCTTCTCCTCAACAACTCATCAGCAGTGCCTATTTTCTTACAGAAGACTGAAACTAAGCAAAAAATCCCCATATAATTCAAAGCCTGAAGACAGCATGTGCCACTGCAGCAACGTAGAACAAGAAAGTGTAAGAATGAGCATAAGGGTTCAAACCAAGTAACCCACCTCCAGCATTGGTCAATATAGAAGAGGTTAAGAACATGGCACAAATACATTTGTACACTATCAGAGTACTCTGATAAGTTCAGCAGTTTGCAGTTCAGGGACTTCCAGGTTTTTAACAGCTCTTAAAGTTTTTTATCTTCACTACAGTTGTGCAAAGAAGCATCTCATTTTATTTACTCTGAACTTGCTTCTGTTGCTTTCATTTAATACCTCCATTTTTTTGCAGTAGAAGAGACAGTGGAGATTCGTTTCCTGCCAAGCTTCACCATAAGGCTTGTTTTCTTATGCGTCTACAGCCTATCTTCCTTCAGTATACTCTTCCCTAAGTATGCAGGGTATATTTAATCCCTTCTTGTGTGGACTCCCACCCATAGCTTTGGTCATTGCACTGTTTTGTTGTATCTCTTTTAGTTACACTATATTTTTAGAAATGAGACTATACCTGCATACAATATTGAGGAGTTTGTCATGTATTCTCCTTTTTTTCCCCTAATAGCTCCTAATAATCCATTTACAACTGACAATTGCTGGGCATCTAGCTACACGATTTCCTAGAATGAAGATATATAGAGGAGCAGGTAGAGCTCATCTCAAGAATC